ACACAAGTCATGTCAGCGGGCAAGTGATTGAAGTATGGGGCATAGGCTGCCCTGCATTTCCCTTGTCTAATTAACTCCTGCTCTTTATGAATTGCATCCCTTAAGGGCTCGAACCAACCAAGGAACAAACTTTTCATGTAAGGCAAATTGGGAGCCAACTTGTGCTCACACATCTCCTTGAGAAGCTCCCTGTACTCATTAGCTGCCCTTTCCCACGCTTCAGTCTCAATCTTAACCTGCCTTCTCTTCAACATCTCATACTTCCTCCATCCCATTCCAGGCGCAATCCTTTCCCATCTCTTCCTCGCAGTTTCCTTCCGCTGTTCCTTCCTCAATTCCTGAACCAACTCTTGCACTTCTTCCGTGAAAGAAACATCCTCTTCTAAATCCGTATGCGACGAAACTGCCTCTGCTACGCTCGCATAGCTCCTCGGATAAAACCCACCACAGGAAAACCCTCTCGGCAACAAAGGGACGCATCTCAGGCCACTATCGTTATCCTTGCGCGGAATTTCACCTCTGGGACACAAACCCAGGTGGGGATTCAAGATATTAATCGGATAAAGTTTGGATTTTACAGAAAAATTCCGGCCCAGCGAGAGGCTTTGGAAGCTGCAGGCATTTGAGAAAGAAGCCGAAGAACTCAATGCACTTCTCTGGGTTTTGCAAATGGTATGTTTGGCTCCGTTTCTCCACATAACTGTGGGCGATATCGGCGGGGATGGAGAGAGAACTGACGGCGTTGTATTGAAGAAGATGAAGTGATCGATTTCTCTTAAAGAGAGAAAAGGGGGTTTAGAATTGGACATCAAATAAGATGGAGAAGGTGTAATTCAATTCAGAGGGATAGAAGACGAGAGGAGATGGGGAGGGGGAAGAGATTGAGAAGAATTGAAGTGATGAGTTGTTCATGGAGATTGGAGTGGACAGCAGCCGACTTAAAACCCTCCCTAAACCTTACCTTTTCCAATTATCCACTTTGTTTCTTTCTGGTAATCTCCTTTGGCTAAGCTTGGTGGTGAGTTGGTCACTTGGTCTGGCGACTCTGGCCAGGGCTCGGGGGTTGCAGGGGAATGAAAAATATATAAATGACAAAATGCGATATTAGTCACTGGACTTTCAGTCTGTCCCTCAACTGCTTGCTAATTTTTATAAAGGTACAAAATAGCCACTAAACTTTACTAATGTATATGGATTCTCTACTCATAAGAGTTCACACAAACTTCTAACATCACTGCATCATCAGTACTCAATATTTTTTTGATAACCCCTACCTCAGCCCCACGTGCCGCTTGAGCGACAGCGGGGCCTACTAAACCACTGGGGGTACCTGCATACTAACCGGAGCTTTCTGCTACCAACATCGGGGAGGCTTCGCCCCCGATACCAAGGGTGCCGCCGGGAACGCACAAGTGGCTCCACTGGGAATCGAACTCAGGACCTCTCACATCCAGAGCTCAATTGGACCAGTGTTTTCACCACTAGGCTATGTTACCTTTGGCCATCAGTACTCAATATCTTGAGAGTAAAGTAAGTTTGTTTTGAAAAAAAAAATTATCCAGGTAAAGTTCAAACGCTATATTCATTGACAATAATTTTGTAATTTATTCTTCTTGCGCAATCACTTATATTCAAAACCTTGGAGCCAGGGGGATACCTCTTAGAAGTAAAAAGTGGGGAACTAAGAGTAAAATTAAGAAAAACGAACAACTAATTAAGGAGCACGTTGAAGCATATGAAAGATAGTATTAGCAACATTGTTGTTTGATGGGAGAGGTGAAGTCGCCATTCTTCTCAATCCGTCTTCACCAGCTGAATGGTGATTGCGAAGATAATCAACTTGATACACCTTCTGATTGATATGTGAATGATGACGTTTACGAACTACTCCAATACTCTGATTGGCCTCTGCCACTTCGAACCTATCCATATCATTATTAATCATAATCGGCATTGCTACCATTGCCACTGGATTCCCTGCTCTCTTTCTCCAACTTTCCACCTTCTTATTTTGATCACGACTTCTTCCTTCCTGCATATAATAGGTCTCGGTTAAAACAATACGACACACAAGTCAAACAGTGACCTAAGGAGAGAATTGTAATTTTATCTACCGAGTAATTATTTAAAAGAGTCTCTTGATATCTTTGATATCTTTTCATACGTGTATAAAGTGGTTGTGCACACAGTTTTGTTTCTTCCAACACGGTATAACAATGTAGTTTCGAAATTTTGTAACAAAATGATCGCTTTCGTCAATCTCCATCGAAAAGTTTGCACCATTGCTCAAACCTTAGCGGTGAGACCTCAAAGGAAATTTACCGGGCAATAAAGACCACAAGTTTGCAACGTCTAGTTTCAAAATGACCCATCTACATACCATTATTATGAGTGTTGGCTGATTCACACTACTTGAAAGCACCAACTTGTTTTAACTTACCAACTCCAACTTAAAAGGGAAGATGGCTTACTTGAGGAAGAAGAGAAGATGTAGGAATTGGGCATATGACAGGACGGTCTTCATCCATTGGCTCCATTGGATGTTCCACCGGCCACACCTCTTCTTCTTCTTCTTCTTCTTCTTCTTCTAAACCACCATTGCTGCCCTCCACCTGCCTTCTCCCCAAACTACTCATTGCAGAGACTGAAGTGAACTCCCAGTAGTCCTGAGAGAGGGGAGGGAAAGAAGGAGACGGCTCCTCCAATAGGTGGAAAAGATTGTGTGAAAGGAAAGCAGGCAATAAGGGGATAAAGAGATGGGGAGAGGCATGAAAAGGTGAACCCTATAGAAAAAGAAAAGCAAACCAAAGGAAAAAAGAGCAATGTGGAATTGTGGATCGACCTTCCCTAATAGTGAAAGTTGAATGAGATGAGGCAAATAAATAAGATTCCTCCCACACCAACACATTTAAGTCACCCATTTCATACTTTCCACCCCCCATGTTTTCGTGCTCTCTTCTCTAACTTTTATCCATTCCGCGGGTTATTAGTACTAATCGGTTTTTTTGATGTGCTATGTCGAAATATTATTGAGATCATTTTATTGAAATGAATCCGTTATTATCATCATGTTATATGGGCTTTTCACTTTTGTATGTTTGTATATGATTCTGCAAGTTCTTTTTCCCCCCTATTTCGTTTAGGGTTGTGAGAAGATTATATACTTCGAACCCTTGCATAATAGAATTTATGTACTCTCCCGAAGAGCTGTGAAAACTATTTTCCTTAAGTAAATAATTTCTTGAAGAAGGTAATTGAGAAAACTAGAAAAAAAGGGATTCGTTAACGAAATGAATTCGTTATTATCATCATGTTATATGAACCAGAACAAAAGGTATTAGAGCCGGATACTCACATCTTCAAGAAATTAATAGTTTATTTGAACATAAGGCGTAATGGATCTGTGCAAAACTACAAGGCTATAGATTGATTTTGATTTGAGATAGCGTATGAGAAAATTATATAAATTTATATATTTGAACATCCTAATAACAAATTATTAGAATGAACTGATTCTCATCAATGCCTAGTTAATGAATAATTTTTTTAGGGAATTATTTACTAATTTTTTAGCAAATTATTTACTAATAATAGGTGGGTCACTCATTTTGAACAATACTATAATTAAACCATTTAGTTAAATGGGTTATACTCTACTGCTCAAATAATTTTTTGACTAAATGGGTGGATATAGAAAACCTTAACTATAATCCTAATATCTTTTTTTATAAAAAAACCTATATTATTTCATTACTGGTTTGAAATAGTACAGGTATCTGAAGTTGATTTAATAAAAAAATTGGAGGTCTAGAAAACCAAGTCTCCTGCTGGTCCCAGTTGCAAAGTGTATGGGCCATTAATTTGCCAAGTGAGATTGTAATCGAAACCCTGACTATAATTATCTTACATGAGGTACAATTTGGATTATGATCTGCCAGGCTGTGAATGTGAAAATTGATAAGAAGTTTAATGGTTTTGATGTTTCAGTTTTAAAATCGTTTAGCATTTTAATGGGTTTGGTTTTCGTTAAAACCAAAGAATCAATAAAAATTCGATTCATCCTAATTAAGTTAATATCCGTCAAAAACACATATTGTCACCAACTTATGTGCAGTGGACTTCTTTTCTATTTTCATACTTCTTGTTGTCTTTATTGGCTCCAGTTTTGGACTTTGCAAACTATGAGTTAGATTTTTTGGTTTATTCAAATCAACCCAAAACTGTTAAGAGAGTTATCGATTTTCATTTGATCAATTACCAACAAGACTAGTCTAAACGATTATGATTTTTGCCAATTTTCCAAATTTGGTTTTTGATTTTTCGTGCATACGGGCTCGAACCGTAGACCTTCTCGGTAAAACAACTCAAACTAATTATTATCAAAATGATTCGAACTTGGGGAAGATCAGCCTGTTATCCCTAGAATAACTTTTATCCGTTGAGCAACGGCCTAGCATATTAGCTTTTTATGAACACGAGAGGAGATCGTCAAAAAATTTGGAACCTAATTCCATAACAACGGATACCTTTATTCCAACAGTTAATGATTTGGTTAACCAAACCAATCTGGCAACCCTGCTATCAACACATGAAACGATAATAAATCTTGTTCCCACAAAAAAAAAACTTTGCTCACCATTGAGAAACGGAAGAGGTTAAGCTCAAGAAGAGACCACTAATTAATCTCCCTAGTTCTTAATTGTCGTTCTCACTCAGTCTACTATAATACTGCACATATATAATAGATTCAGACAAACAAAAACCCTTGATAATCTAAGATAATCTTTTTTAGAATTTTTTTATTATCCTTTTATAATCCCATCAAATTAAAGATGGAGCAAAGCCAAAAAAAAAGGGAGACAGAGATTGAAGAAGAACCAAAACTGATCTGATCCAGCCAAAATGTACATCATCCATTAACCAATGATGAAGCTGAACATCTCTTCGGTTGCAGCACTGGCCTGGCAACTAATTAATAATAATTAATCAAACCAATTTAATTAGAAACTAATCAAATCAGGAAGCTCATCTTGTTTATACACACAAAGCTGATATTGTTCATGAGTAGGCGTGGGCAGAGTAGATAGCAGATCCATCAGCTGATCGTCCGGCATCTCAAATGGATTCGTCGGCGGCGACGACCCAACGTCACATATCGACAACAAATCGCCATAATTACCGACGGAATCTTGATCGTTATCATCATCAAACACCTCCCATTCGTCCGTTATCACCGTCTGCAACCTCCCACTAGCAGTAATGCTCACATTCATCATCTTCTTCTTCGTCACTTCACCACCATCATCATCTTCCATTGCAGCTTTGTAGCTCTTTTCGTGAAGGGGAAATCCGGCGCCGGCGTCGGAGGTAGCTTTGTAGTAATCCCCTCCTTTCTTCGCCACCATCTCTTCCAGCTCTGAGACGCCACTCGCCATGTGCTCCAGCACCTATTACAGTATAGTAAAGTATGATTAGGGCATGAATGTGTATGATACCTGATTGAATTTCTCTCAACAAATCGAGTTATTGGGATTAACTGGTTCTTGATAATAATATTAAAGCCCTCTGTGACTTAAAGGTACTCGGTTCGAATCTTGATGATTCAGTCTGTTCTGTTAAACACTTTGAGTGATGGGTTAACGTCTTTCAACAATTCGAGTTAATAGGACCAACTAGTTTTTGAGGAGTCTAGTGTAAATAAGAGTTGGTATATGTGGTATAAGATCCATTACTGAACTGTCAAGAACCAGTTGATCCCAACAGCTCGAGTTGTTGGGAGAGGTTCCATAACGAATCTTATACCATTCACTAGCACACCCCCCTCAAACGAAAGTCGGTCAACTCACAAGAGCTTTCGTTTGCACATGTCTGAACACGAGAATACATGTGCTTCACAAATGGGGTCATCGGGATTCGAACACAAGACCTCCCGATCAAATCAGGCTATGATACCATGCAGTTGATCCCACTAACTCCAGTTGTTGGGACTCCCAGTAACTCCATTCGTTTAAGCACATGATGTCTGTGTAGACTTTAAACCTATCTGAGTGACTTTCATTTGAAGGGAGGTGTTATATGTGGTATAAGATCCATTAATTAAATTTCTCCCGACAACTCGAGTTGGTAAGAATTATACTGCATGACCACTTTATCATCAACAATACCTTGATGTCTTCCTCGGGGATAGGAGTCACTTTGGGGACCTCCATGGCGCTGAAAACTCCAAATGCGCGGCAGAACTCGAAGTAGAGAACCATGTTCTTGCCCTGAACCCTGGCCTTCTGCAGCACACGAAGTACCATGGTGGACTCTGCCTTTCCGGCCGAGTGGACCTCCATCAGGACCCGTGAAACCCCGCTGCAGATGTTGCCGTAGAGGTCGAAGATCTCCGCGATGACGCAGTCCATGGCTTCCATTATCAGAGCGTCTCGCTTCATGTTGTCGGCCAGCGGCTTGATTTGGAGGAGAAGGTCCAGCAGTTTCTGCCACTTCTGCAGCTTCTGGATCTCTTGCCACAGTTCCAGCTTTGTGATCGTAACCACATCGTGATCATCATGGTTGTCCTCGTCGTTGGCCGCCGGAGGAGGAGTAGTCATGGCGGCCGTTCTTTTTGACGACAACATCCTTCTGCACTTGTGGTTTGTGCTACAATACACAATTTGAGATTCCAAAGTTTAATAAAGTCTTGTAATCTTGAAAATGTTTAGATTCTTCCATATGAAAAATAAAAGTTGAGGGGAAATTTTATATTTCTCTATAGGAGTAGAGTGTGTTGATTTTTTTATTAGGGTTCGAAATGAAAAAGATTCGAGAGATTCGAGAACGAAAAAACAATGCTTTTTCGTTTGATTGCGTCTGATTTCACGTAAATCTAAACATTCATATACAAGCTTATCCAATTCATTATCAAAATCTCTCGAAAAGAGTACATCTTTGACTTGGTAAAATATGATTTCATGCAACAAATGATTCAAATGCACATAATTCAATGGCTAGCTAGATTATTCATTTTCACTAACAAAGAAGTTCCCCATTCAAGCAAATGTACTTGACTATGCATGCCTTATCAGCAGAAAAAAGTACTTGACGATGATTCTATATCCATGAACACATTTGACTAACTTCTTCGTTTATCACATACATCTTCACATTTTTCATATAAAACGCCGTGTTAATTATAACATAATAAAGAATCGACATGAAATCATGCAACGAAGAAAAAAAAACTGGTTCCTGACAATACGTCACAGACCATTTCGTGTCAAATGAATAATTCGAAAAGGCTGGTCTTATAATACCTGCAAGTGGGGTACAAGAGGGAGGATCTCCGATCCAAGAACGTGAAGTAGGCCCTAACGAACGTATTATACCCCCACACCTTCGTCGGATTCGAATGCCCGTCGGCGAAATTCGACAGATCGAACGGCAACCTTCCGATCCGGTGAACCGCCGGCGTGTCGCAACAGAAGATGCCGTGCATCAACATGAGACCTTTCAGAGCCACGACCCAGCTCTGCGTCCTCTCCATCCTCACGCTGAGACCCCACACCAGCGGCTTCAGGCTCACCGGCGACGTCCTGATCCACTCGAACACGCGCCGCGCGTGGCGGTAGTCGACGCTGTCGCCGTCGTGGCTGGTGGCCTTGATGATCGCCGCCTCGAGGCTGCCGTCCCGGGAAGAGCTCCGAGGGGTCAGGAAGCTGGCTAGGAGGATGCTGTTCTGGTCCTTCACGGCACCGGCGGCTTTCCTCCATAGCTTCATTTCCTTCCTCTTTATTTTTTTTTTTTTTTGCAGCTTCTTCCTTCTTCCCGGCCCCGGCGCCGGCGATGTTTGGGTTCTTTGTGTTTTTTTTTTTTTTTTGGCTGGGATGAATCTGTTTTCCTATTTTGTGCCGGCGATTTTTTGGTTCTCCCTTTTTGAGGGAGTTTTTGGCTCTGCCGGAAGGCGGGATTGGGGGTTATGGTTATTTATTAGTTTGTATTGTTTTTTGTAGGGTTGTGGGAATTATTATTGAATTGGTTTTTATAGTTATTTAAGTTTTAGTGCTATTAGCTGGGTGATGTTGGATTAACCAGAAATTAACAGTCCATTTCCTTGACACTAGATTATTGACATGTGGAGGTATTGTCGTGAATTGGCATAATTAAAAAGGGGGGGAAGCAACCGGTTTTTTTTTTTTGGGTAGAAAAAGCAAAGCAACCGGATTTTGGCATAAGAAATTGACAGAAAAACATCATTAGTTGGCCTGTCAAAGCTAAGTATAACTATTTGATTCTCATTTGTGTATTGGTCAATTTTCTTATTCAGTTATTTTGTTCAAGTATTTAGGGGTTAATTGCATGGTTGGTCACTGAGATTACAAAAAACGTTCATATTTGGTCACTGTAAATATTTAAATCCAATATTGGTCACTCAAATTAGTTAAATGGTTCAAGTTTGGTCACTCTCCGTCCAACTCCGTTAAATTTATCTGATGTGGCAGTCAACCCTCAAAGTTGACCGTTAACTCGGTGACGTGGCAATTAAAAAATAATAAATAAAATAAATTATAATCTTCTACCATTTCCAACTCATTTTCACACTAAAGTAAAATAAAAAAATAAAAAAATATTATAATTACAAATTGAAAAGGGGCTTCTCCGATTCAGCCCCGCCGCCTCTGCTTCTTTCAATACCTTCGACGTCGTCGTTATAGGCGCCAGAATCATCGGATTGACGATCTCTCGACAGCTCTTGACTAGCTCCGATCTCTCCGTCGCCGTCGTAGATAAGGCTATTCCGTGCTCCGGTGCTACCGGCGCAGGTAATCACTTTCAGATTATTGAATTTTAATTTTATTCTTTAACAACTGAGTGTCAATCACTTTCATTCATCTGACTGTTAAGAGTTAACTCAGTCAGCACTTCTCTGGTCTCCTCCCACAGTCGTTCTTCTTCCCACAGTCCCAAAGCTAAAACCGCTCCGCTGCCATCTGTTCATTTTTCAAACGCACTATCCCAAACAAAAATGGCTTCTCCGGCGCTATCGCTCCCCCGTTCGTGGACTTGTTCTTCTCCCCAATACCGCGATGTCGCTTCTCTTCCACGCTCCCGCCGCGGTTCACTTGCCTTCCCCAACGGCTATAACACAGAATCCGCCTTCTTCGGCTCCAAACTCCCCGCCAAATCGCTTTCCTGCTCACCGGCGACACATCGATGTCGCGGCCGGGCTCTCCGATTCAGCCCCACCGCCTCTGCTTCTTTCCACACCTTCGACGTCGTCGTTATAGGCGCCGGAATCATCGGATTGACGATCGCTCGACAGCTCTTGACTAGCTCCGATCTCTCCGTCGCAGTCGTAGATAAGGCTGTTCCGTGCTCCGGCTCTACAACAACTCTCTCACCGGCGCTCTGCCCCAGGGCTTCTCCAATCTCACGACCTTGAGGCGTTTCGACGCCTCCATGAACGACTTGACCGGGACCATTCCCGACGAGCTCTGTGGGCTGGACCTCGAGTCGCTCAATTTGTTCGAGAATCGGATTCAAGGGAGCCTGCCCGAGAGTATAGCCAGCTCCCCCAACTTGTACGAGCTCAAGCTCTTCAATAAACAGATGAACGGGAACTCTGCCCTTTTCAATTTGTAATTATAATATTTTTTTGTTTTATTTATTTTACTTTAATGTAAAAATGAGTTGGAAATAGTAGAAGATTAAAATTTATTTTATTTATTATTTTTTAATTGCCACGTCACTGAGTTAACGGTCAACTTTGAGGGTTGACTGCCACATCAGACAAATTTAACGGAGTTGAACGGAGAGTGACCAAACTTGAACCATTTAACTAATTTGAGTGACCAAGATTGGATTTAAATATTTATAGTGACCAAACATGAACGTTTTTTGTAATCTCAGTGACCAACCATGCAATTAACCCAGTATTTAGGGATGGCAATTCTAAATCTATGTTCTTTTCTGTATTGATTGATCTCCGAATGATTGGAGATTTTTCATTCTCATATCATCATTCACGAACTTGGCATAACTATTGTAATCTCCATGGTACACATCTACTGAAAATTCAAAGAATTTTTTTTTGCAATTGTGTCGAAAATATATCTAATTGTTCGATAATCAAACAAACAGCATATATCTAATATCATAAATTAATTGAGAAGAGAGAGAAAATCATAAAAAATGAAGTTTTAAAGAAAATTAGGGCTAAGAGATGACTTGTATCTGTTGATAGAATCGGAAGAGTGAAATTGAGGAGCTTACAGTTGTGTTCTTCCGAAATTTGGTGCAAGATGGAGGATGAAGGATTATATGACATTTAATTAGGTATACATGTGTTAAACGCGAGGTGGGTGTGGGGATGAAGGTTTTTTTTTATAATGGTGAAAATTTATTAGACTAAGATAAAATAACTGTACACAAAGTACCAGGATCAAGAGATCAGTTGATCCTGAATAGAGCAAAAGAAAATAATATCCCGAAAACAAAAGGATATAGAAAGGAAAAGGAAACAATGAAAAAAAACCTCACCACTAAACCACATCAGATGACTTGGATCCCCCTGCGAGTCCTAGACCCCCAAGAACGCATTAAATGAAAATCTCAACCACTGGGGGAAGGATAGGGAGCTAAATACCCACAAATCAGTTCCCTCTGCCCAGAAAAACCAGCAAAAGGGAACGAAATCTAAAATATCCTCCCCTTAACAGGTCTCCAACAATCTACCCAAACAGCAGCAACATCAGCAGATCTCCCGCACGGCCAATGATACCAGTCTAACTTCATCCCTTGCAGCCTCCTCCTCGAAACAATTCTAAAACCATCGTCACCCCGCCAGGAAACTCTTGCAACAAGAACCGAGCGTAACTCCCCCATCCCAGTTGAACCACACGATCCTCTGTACAACCATGTAAACAACTCGAGATCCATCCTTCACGGCCTCCTCTATGATCCATCTCTACACTAAACCCATCTCTGACAACCATCAACATCCCTCCGCTCTTTGCATTTTACCTTTTGCCACTATCCATTCTAAGGCCTTCTTCGCCGCCTTTTTTCCTACCACCAACATAGGCGTCTCTTTGTCTTCGAAAGCCCTCTAGTTCCTCTCGAGCCACACAGCCCACCAAATGGCATGTAGGATACAGCCATCGAACCACTGCTCAATACCATCTCCATCTGCAGTCGGCCAATTTGCTATTACTTGATTGATCTCTCCATTCCATCTCGGTGTCCCGCTCCTCCTGCAATACAGCATTCTCCAAATGTTCTTCACGTACTCACATTCCACAAGAATTTGAAAAGTGGTTTCTTCATTCTTCATACAGAAAACGCATTTATTCGCTAAATATATCCCTCTCTTCTTCAAGTTATCTAGAGTTAACACTCTATTGTGATAGACCAGCCATATAAAGAAACATATTTTACTCGAAACCCACGAAATCCAAACTTTCTCCACTGGAAACTCCTCGAGACCACTTAAATGAATGGCTGCCAACTCCCAATACAATGATCTCATCGAGAAGATCGAGTTTGCCTCTTGTTTCCAAATGATCCTGCACAGACTATGTGAAGAGTACGTCAAATTCACAGAGTTTAAAAGATTCAGAAAAGTATCCCTCTCCCTTGCTGCCCCACCCCTCAAAATATATTTGAAACTAAAGTTCCAACTCACCATGGAGACTCGCAGTGTCGGAGAGAAGAGCTTCAGGGTCAAGGACAGCAGCAACAACGCGAGGAAACGAGGCAGCCAGCACGATCCCAGGTAGGGATGGCAACGGGTCGGGTTGGGCGCGGATAGTGCATATCCGTCACCCTACCCATAGTAGTTCGGATTTTACCCATACCCATACCCACATGTGAAACGGGTAGAAAATCAAAACCATGCCCATACCCGTTCGGGTTTCGGGTATCCACGGTTATCCATGGGTAATAATTTCTCTTCATAACTCCAACCAATATGTTAACATTCACACGTATTCTCACATTACGTAAGAGGAAAAGTATGACAATAATTCACTAGAATGAAGAAAATTAATTAAAAATACACAGTTTCATGAAAATATTATATTTATATGCTAAATATAAAATATGTTAGAGAAAAATAATGATTAATCCTAGACAAAATACATATGCATGTGTATAATCGGGCGGGTTCGGGTTGTATAGTGAGAAACTCATGCCCACCCATTACCCGCAATATTCGGGTTCGGATTTTACCCGTACCCACTACATGTCCTTCGGGTTCGGGTTTTACCCTACCCAATTATGCCTAATTCGGGCGGATATCCACGGTTACGGATATTTTTGCCATCCCTAATCTCAGGGATCTAACAATCATACCAGAAGGAGACTTGAGTGCCATTCCCCGGATCAATTACAGCGAAATTCCCAGAACTGATCATACTCCTTACTGATGTTAACCCAAACAGACTTGGAGAATCCACTTCTCTCCCTCTTGGTCTGCCAACAAGACACTTCATTCGGATACTTGTAATTATTCAATCCCTGCCACCAACTTCCTCTCTCCACCGCAAATCTCCACAGCTATTTCGAAAGCAGAGCATCATTAAAAAGCTTCAAATCATGGATTCCAAGACCTCCCTTCTTAATAGGCGTTTTACACAGCTTCCAATCCACAAGAGCCATCTTATTACCATCAGACTTCCCACACCATAAAAACCTTCTTTGGTACCTTTCTAAGTCTTTTACAACTGAATTTGGAGCCTTGAAGAGTGAAAATAAATATGATGGAGAACCAGAAAGGACCGCATTGATCAATACTAGCCTCGCCCCAGATGACAGATTTCTGCTTCCCCAACCACTTAATCTATTTTGATATCTTTCCACGATTCCATCCCATATCGAGCTATCATTCGGTTTCGCCCCTAGAGGAAAACTGAGGTAATTAGGCGAATCTCTACTCCATTTGCACCCGAAAATCGCTGCAAAATAGCTCGGTTCA